TTTCTTTTTTTTCTATTGTGCCATTTAATTATTTTATTTTTTTTCATTATTTTGAGAATGTTTACATTCTCTCTCTTTCGTGAACTGTTATCCCTTTTTATTGATTGGCAATTATCTGTTGTTTTTGTAAGTCTTGACCCGGACAAACTGTTCTTTTTTTCACTTCACAACCTCTTCCTTCACTCCGTACCACTGAGATTACTTACTACTAATAACTGATGTGTGTGTGTGTGTGTTCGGTTACTAATGGTCAGACACACACACGCGTGTATGTGTGAGCACACATACACTCATCTCCTTCCTAACTTTATTGGTGTAGCAATTATTTTGGCTAATTAGTCTTTCAGCCTGAACAACTCTAGGTTCACTCTATTGAAATTTCAATTGATAAAAAATAAGGACATTAAATGAGAAGTACTCAGTGTGGTAATAGTAGCTAGGGCTGGTAACGTAACGGTGAGAAGGATGATTGTATAGTTTCATCTCCAGGCTAGGCAACTGCGTTAAGATTAACTCAGCATACAGTGGATTTATAGCTCTAGTTTGTTTAGATACTTGATTTAAAAAAAATGATGTGTCACGTGTTCCATTCTCTCTCTCTCTCTCTCTCGAGAGAGAGAGAGAGAGAGAGAGTATCCATAATCTTCACACTAAAGTAGTTTTGGTTCATTGCCAAATTTATTTACATGCCCATTGGTGCGTGTGTGGAGTAACATAATATTTTTCCGACTGAAATCTGCGTCAGCCGAGTGGGTCACAGGTTTGAATTCCTGTCCACCTACTTCAGTCTAGGCAATTCGGTTATTACCATCAGTCAGTCTTCATACAATAAGTTTATTTTATTATTTTTATTTAAATGCAGAAAAAACTTGGTACATAGAAAGGTGCGCCACACAATAATAATAAAACAACATAGATTAAAAGTAAAAAAACATAAGTAGAGGACGGATAAAGAACTTCATCTGGAAGGAAAACGGTCATGCTTAATAAGTTCAAACAGTATTCGTCAACTATCATCGGGAAGGGAAGAAAGAAGGAAATTGCATCTCGTCCGCCATTGATTACAACTCTTGGCCATATCCGATAACGTTTCGAGCTATCTCTCGGACCCCAACCAAGGAGTCGTGACGCACCAACCTATGCTAACCTAGCACCCAAGAAGCCAAACTGGCTGGGAGTCATGTTCATCCAGGTCCTACCACGTCAGGAAGGTTGTTTGGTTACCGGTTAGACTAAAAGCAGTTACCATGGAGTACATGGGCTCCAGAATCCAATCAGACCAAATGGTGTATGAACCCATATGGGTCACCAACAACCATGGGGATGCAGCTTCTGATGCTGCTCCGCTGCCTTGCGGATTAGAACTCAAGTCAAAGGTTCGGGCGATGGTCCCTTAAGAAAACCACCTGCTTCGGTCTGGACGCCCGGAAAGAGTGTCTCAGCCCTCACTCAATAAATGAAATGAAGCAACAAACCATCAATGAAACTTATCACGCGCTCGTGATTCATACAGTAAGTGTGGCTTACATCACAGAAACGAAACCACAGGAGCTGTAAATCAGGGACGTTTCTTTATCTTACTACTCCGCTTGTTTAGTATCACAACCACTTACACTCCAAGTCATTACATAATATCTTGTACGAACCAGAATGATTCATTGTCTGACGAAAACCCAACAGCCATTATTCTTAAGGTCAGTCAGCATTACTGTGTTAGCCACTACTGTCGTCAGATATCCCAATGCATTTATGAGGAGCATCGACTACAGTCTAACTATTTACTGGCCAACAGTGTGTGCATTAATCTGACTGAGAGAATGTGAAAGTTTTTTTTACAAAAATATGCAGACTCAAAATGATGAAATTCTCGAAAGCATCCGACTCCAATGTAAACATGTGATGATAAATGCGTAAAGTGTTAGAAAAGGACGACTTCAGAAAAATCAAAATAATTTGCAGTTGTGACATATTGGATAACCCAGTGACACCAAGGTCACATATTTACGCAACAACTGAGATAGCATGTGTAAAATTCATCCACAATTATAATCGAATAACATTCACAGTTGATAAATATTCTAAATAAGAGGTCGTATAAGTAAAAGAAAATATTTCTCTCTATGATGAAAGTACTGATGAAGCCATCTAGTGTGGTGACATGACATTTACGATTAAATCAGCACGTTGTATTCCTATGTGTTCCAGTTGATACATGGCGCTTCAAGCTAGAGCTTTGAAGTTTCAGTAGCAGTGGTTTCATTTGCACAGGGTGAGACTGTCAGCCTCCCGCCCAACCTCCCCGTTTTACCAGGATTACTTACCGGCCTAGGGAAGTTGAAGAGTGCATCAGCTTGGCGAGGGGTTGGTTGAACCATGGACCACGTGTGGTTGGCCGAGTACCCTACAGCTGAATCCCTGATGCAAGTATGTAGGCGTTAGGTGCTAGTAAAGATGATGAGACTGTCTGATTGGAAGTACTCAAATTGTTACTTATTGAAATGTGTTGGCATGCTGCCAATTCCAATTGTCACCCTATGCTATCCTGTAGGATACTGAAAACTCTAAGTGCTCCTTAGAGTGCTCCATCATCGTGTATCCACTACAGTCAGTTGTGGGTAGATAATTATTAGTGAGTAAAATGAAAATTTATATGTGGGCAATCGTGGAGCCAGCTGTGAAGGACTTATAGAAAACAGAGTGAGATGGAGATGTGTCCCTGAAGCTCTTTGTTTTACTTGGAACACAAGGGAATAAATTATCATACATATAACTTTCTGTCTGAGAGAACCATGGGAACATCTGGGAGTGTTGGACAGTTTTTTCATCCTGGTTTGGGACTCTTCATCAGCTTACACCCACCACCAGGACTCGAACCCAAGAACTTCCGGCTACTAGGCAAGCTCGTAGACCATCAAGTCACTGGGACCCGCCAGTCCAATGGACAGCCCGAGTTCCAACTTCTGCCAATTCATGATGTAGCGCGGCTGGTACTAGTCACTATCATCAGCGATTATTAGTCTGGTGGGTGCGTACTCCTAAAGAGTCTCGAACGAGTGGGATGAAACAGCTGTCCAGCACCCCTCGGTTTTCTGATGCATATCTCAAGCCGATGACCACTTCATGATTAGATTACTGTAACCAATCCAATCCCCGCAAACCAACACTTGAACACCTTTCAGTTGTTTTGGTTAACGCTAGCGTGTTTGTACCATTTTAACCATAAGTGTTAGTTATTTTTTTTAAATAAACAAAGTTTGCTTTGACCCATTTGTTACAGAATTAATGTATTCATAACTCAATGATCTCTTGTTTTTATTGCGCCAAATGGCGATACCATGTGATCATGATCTACGCGTCCGCGTTTTCGTCTGTGCACGCGTGCGTGTGTGTGTGTCAGTGTACTAGCTAGGTCAGAAGAGCAGTAACAACTTGTAAATGTTAATGTTTTATTTGTTTTTTTTACCAACTTTGTGTATGACCGTTAGAATTCGACTTCACCTAAGATACCCATATTATATGTGTATGTCTTTACCAGTATATATTTAGTCTCAAAGTGATTTGACTCCTGCTAATTATCATTTGATGAGTGTAGTGTGTGTGTGTGTGTGTGATCGCTAGTCGCCCTTATAAAACATTAAAGTACAAGTTGTTGCTGGATTGTCAGCTCTGTTAGCCTTCTATAGCAGTAGACGATATTATATGAGTGGTGAATTGCTCTCGTATTCGCCTGTAACATAAGACAGCATTCAAAAAATTTAACTATGTCCCCCACCCGTGATAATTCTACCCAATACTGTCTTGATGAATGACCTCTGATTTCAATTGGTATATATTTGTTACTAGTGTCCTACCAAGTATTAGTTACCAGAATTCAATTATGGTCAAAGTGGCTGTTTTCCAGTTCTTAACTTTATGAAAACGTAGGTTAAGGTGTTTGTTACCTGATGTATTTACAGTTGTGAAGATGTCATTGACTGATTTAAGCTCTCGACAACCCCAACCAATAGAGCTCTTCAGTCCATGTTCATCTTCATCCAATTCATTCTGAACAAATGCATAGTATCACCAGTCTTCATATAGTAAGTGTGTGTGGTCCATAGTCCGTTATCGTCGATTTGGGCTGTAGCTCAATAACTAACTAACTAACCATTCACATTTTCAAATGACAGTTTGCAAGCATTTGGCTGATTTCATTTTTGAACACGAATTGAATCTAGTTAGAGAACCATCAACCCCTCCTCCCCGCCTTCATCTTTCTGTAAGGACTCATCACCAGTACGCGCCAGATATCCGACTCCAAGAATTTCAGAGCGTTAGAATGAATACTTACCTAACGTAAAACACTGACTGGTGATCGCTCTATATCGCAAATCGGCAGTAGTTAGAATTGACTGATAGGCCATCAGACTCCACTTCAAGTGGGTTGAATGGTCAACAAGCTTGCTGTTGTAACCTGTAGGTGCGCTGGGCTTGGTCTCCGGTGGGTTCATAGATGCGTCTTACCAAAGAGTCTCAGAGTAGCTGTTCAGTACTCCATGGTGTTTAGTGATTCTCTAACTGAAGTCAATTCGTAATCAAAATTCCCTGAGTATATACAGTTATTCTCTAAGTATGTCATTCCTTTACGCCTGGGCGGAAACATCTGCTTGTGCGTCGGTGGCACAGTGGTTAGGACGCCCACCGACCATGCTAATGGTCCGAGGTTCGATCCCCTGCCGACGCACACCTGAATTCTGCTGGCCTGCAAAATTTGGACTATCGATATCACATGCTGAAGATTCCATACCTGTACCAAACAATAAGGTTGGAATCAAGTTGTTATCAAAAATAAATAAATATATAAAATAATAATGACTGGTTGTTCCCAATGATTCACTTCCTTAAACGTCATACTTCCTATCAAAAAACAAAGTGTGATAGTAAAGTGGTTAAACTCATATTGTGAAGTGTTCTGCTTCATTCCTTGTATTCTTACTTCTTCTTTTTGTTGTCTAATTTAGGATGGTAAAATCTTAAATCAATCTCAAAGCGTCACATCTTCTTCAAGAGATAAAAACAACAACAACGGCAGTGTACGAACGGTAGTTACTCTCCCATTGGAATTGTCTAACATTCATCCTAATCAACATGGCGAAGTGTATGCTTGTGAAGCGACAACAGGACAACACATAGGGAATGGCGGGAAGAAAGCAATTGAAAAAGTCACGCTTGAAGTGTTTTGTAAGTCAAGTTGTTTTTGTCTCTCTCTCTCTGTTCCACCTTGAAAGGTGTTATTTCCTATAAACATACTTTTGAAAGTGTTTCCCTTGTGAATTACTTTTTTTGCTGCCCCAGTGTGATATGGTCCATCTACATTATGTTGTATTTTTACTATCATATATATGGAGAGGAGTTTTGTCAAGATCAACCATCTATACTTCAAACAGGATGTATATTTGTCACCAGCCTCAAGTAGTGGTTAGCTTCTGGGCTGTGTAGTCATCCTAGACACTACTGTTGTTTCTTTTTCCGGTACTTTAGGAAGGAAAATATAAAAATTGGGGAGTGCACACACGTACTTCGGTTACCATATGACGCTCATTCTGTTCCGTTCTGTTCTACCATCAACTTGGATACAGTCTTGAATCATTGCTTACTTAGTTACTATTAGTGCTGTATCTTAGACGTTCTATGTGTACATCCAAGCTTTTTGGGTGTGTGTTTATTCGACTGGTTCAATTCTTGGAGTTAGCGATAAACCAGTAGGAAACAGTTTAGAGGAAAAGAGATAGTACATTATTGGACACACACACGACAGTATGATAAGTGTTTTTAAGTATTTGCTATAATTATTTTATTATTCCCTACGGGTTCCAAGTGAAACCTATGGCTTCAGGAGCACATCTCCATTTCAGCCTGTACTCTGCAGTTCTTCCTTTAGCTCATAGGCTCTTCTCATCTGCATGTCATCCTCGAATGTCCAGCTTGCGTCGCCTATTGGGGTTCCATTACAGGGTCTGGTGCATTATGTCACTGAATGGTTCCCTCAGTGTGTATGTACCTGTTATAACCCCACTGAAATAAGCAAACCCTGTGGCTGCTTTGTTATGTCTGTGCCTGCTGATTGTTATAACGGCAGTGAAATTGACTGGTACGCTGATATGTCTGTTTATCCGTAGTACCTTTCGACTCACTGAGCCACGCAAATATCAAAAGACAAGGGCTGACCTGTGACAGTCAGATATTGTATTGTACTATACAATTATTAGGAACCAAAACACCATCGCTTTACATTTCTTTACCACGATAAAGTCGGCTCACAACTGTGAAAATGGATTGTTCTTACTGGCTGGCAATTCGCGACTAATTCTCATTGGTTGGATATCCGACAAACACCAAGGTGAGTCAAAAGACGATAAAATGCTAACACACTACATCACGATATGCGTGAGAAATGATAGATCGACATAGTATTACTCCATCACAAGATAAGTCACGCAATTTGTGAGAGAGGATGATATACTACTACTTTATGTTGGATCATATCGGTACTCAATCTGTCTGCATTTCCTTTGGCATATTTGTTGGGTAATAGGTGATCTTGGTTGACTCCTCTCCACAGCTCCCTGTCCCTTATCCTTTCTAACCGGTCATCTGATCTTTAGCATAGAGCGGGGGAAGGGAGGGAGGATCTGTTTCGAGTGGAACATATGGCTTCAAGCTAAGAGGTCTGAAGTTTCATTAGGCGTGGTTTTATTTTTGTGGGGTGAGGTTGTTAGCTTCACGCCCAGCTTTCCCTCTTTACTAGAAGTGCTTCGGTGGAGGATCAAAATCCGGACCATATATGCTCAGTTGGCAAGCGTTCTACCCCGACGCTAATAAATGTCTATGGCCTGTTGGAAAGAATTTTCAAGATGCATCGTGATAGCAAGCCACCTAGTGTGGTGGCCACATTGCAGACTTTCACTACACTAGTTACTGACTGATCTCCAATTAAAAATGTTCATTTATGCTAACAACACAATGTTCTCAAGTTTTCACCGTTAACTGATAACTCTGTTGTCTACCTTTTTTCAAACCTTTGATTTTATATATACAGTATACCCTAGAATCAATATGTCAAACAATGTGATCTATACAGATCTAGGCGTTGAAGAGAAATTCACTGTAAGTAATAGTAGTTGCTGTTGTTGTTCATTTTCATTTATGTGAATGTCGAAGAAAATTTTTTTTTGAAATTTATTTTCTCCCCTTTCCATCATTCCCACATGTAAAACTATTGTATCGATTTTTACAGGCTTGTCTGTACTGTCTTGTTGTGTATTTATGCCTCATATACTCCAACTATACTTGAGGTGTTTTCCGTACATGTGTGCGTGTGTGTGTGTAGATCTATCCACAGTATTCTTCCTATGCATAAGGGGATAATATTTTGAAAGTGAATGAGAATGTGTTGTGAGACCATTATCTCTCTTCTTGCCCATTGCTTTTTGTTAGCTCGTTCAATCAATATTGTGTTTGTTTCCGTGTTTGTCCTTGTGTCTTGTTTGTCATCTGTGTTGGTCTTCTATTCTATCTACAGACTGAACTGTGACCCCTTAATACAGTATTCTTATCTTTTCATTAATAGCCGAGATTTTCCACTTACAGCCAGCGGTTTTCCCCCTTTCTTTTTCCTTTGATTATTTCTCATCGAATTAATTAGTACTAAAATAGTAGTATGTTGTTAGGAGACTGTATTATTATTTAATGTCATCTTATTATCATATATGTTAGATTCTTATCAATATCATATTCGTCTCAATCATTATTTATTATTCCGTGTATCCGTAAATGCATAAAAATACGCCCTTCCTTCAATTAACAATAACAGCAAAAGGGAGCATTAATATGTTTGTCGTTTCATTAGTTTGTTTGTTTGTCTGTGAGTCTGTCTATCAATAGTTTGTCGTCTAACTATCATAGGTGTAATTGACCCTTACTACTTACCTTGCTAAACACCTGTTTGTGAACAAATAATTTCCGTTTGATTGTCGCCTCATATTCTAATGTGTATAATGTTAGGGTATTATATGATTGGACTTCAATGTGTGTGTCTGTGTGTGTGTGTAGGCTTTGTTTTTTTTCTAGTATTGCTTTCTCTCCGATTCCAAAAGTATCCTTTAATTTATTTATCCACCTAGCAGCGATTAGGACTCTCGCCGACCATGAACATGGTCCGGGGTTCGAGCCCACGCGGACGCACAGCTGATATCAATGGTCGGCCTGCGAAATTCGGGCTGTCGATATCCACGCTGAAAATTCCATACTTGTACCAAAAATACGATGTGGAATCAAGCTGTAATCAAAAATCAAAAATAAAATAAATAATCTTATCGAAAGGAAACTACAATAATTTAAATCCAAAGTGTGAATGGACGGTTTCTACAACACTGATTATTTTCCAATTCACGGCCCTATCTTTATTCACTAACCAGCTTTGAACATTCCCCATCTCTTCTTAACTCTGGTTACTCGATTATTTCGCTGGAAGATTTCATCATGAGCTGATATCAGTTAGGGAACCATTGGAAAACAAGTTGGGAGTACTGGACAGCTGTTTCGTCAGCCTAGTTTAGGGCTCTTCATCAGTACTCACCCACTTCTGGTTACAAGTCGAGCCCGTTGGTTCTCTAACCGATATCAGCTCATGATGAAATCCTTCAACCAATCAAACAAAATCCCAACAAAATCAATACTTGAATATTCGATTATTTCCAATGTAGCTTTCGTCTTGAACCACCAATACAACACCACTAGTTAGAGGACAACGTTTTTTCTTAGTCTGGTAGCACGAGCTTGGCCGTGTAACCCCGAAGGTTCTGAGTTTTGTCCGTTGTGGTGGTGGTGTTGGGGTCTTGGGTGTAACCTACTGGAGAGTCTCAAACTTGTATCCAACAGCAAGTGTCTGTCCAGTGCTCTTTTAGTTTCCATTGCTTCTCCAACTAATGTGTATTGGTTAGTGACGAAGTCTATACAACACACTGGAAGTAATCTCAAATCCCTACAACAGCCTCCCTTCAACTGAATTTATATATTCAATCAGTATTATTGTTGTTATTGTTACAATTCTAAGGATCTGTTGTATTCAGGATCCTTGTTGCATTACTTTGCTAAGAATAAGTGAATATACTTCATGGTGAAATGATTTTGAACCGTGTTCTCCATATCCATACTTATTTATGATAATAACTTACGTGTTTTTTTAGACTGTTAGTAGTTGAAAAAAAGACATGAACTAGAGAAGTAAATGAGTTTGGTGGATGGTGATTGAGAGTGGTGGATTCCAAGATACACATCTCGTCCTGTGTGAGACTCCTCAGTCGGATGTACCTGTCTGTCCCTGTGAGTGGTGATGTTCACATAGAGACTCGAACCTCGAAGCATTATGCGCTGAAGCATTTTAGGCCATCGTGATTCATTGGAGAATTCAAGTACATTCCCCTGTTGAAATATGCATCCTGGATTCCACTGCTAGTCGCCGTCAAACAGACTACTCCAAGTTTTAATCTTCAGATATATCGTTGAAGCATCATCTGTTCAAGTAACGGACAAGTCAACAGATGCCGAATATTTGAACAAAGCAAGAACTACAGTTTTAGCAGAATAATGTGGTACCATCAATTATTTCGTTGGCTTCTCATCAGCTGCTTACAGCCTAAATAAATTATGAGGTTTAAGTACAGACATGTTTTAACATACTTGCAAATTTTACATGTTGTCAGTTGACAGAAAATTCCACAATTAGTAAACAGTGCTCAGAAGATAGCGCTTATGTAGTTTTCACACAGGCAGTTCAAGTTAAAACAAAATAAATGTGTGCAGAAAATGGTAAAGGAGTTACCTAAAAAAATGAGATGTGCGTTAGATGCATAGTGACTAGTAAGTTAGGTAACAATGTACTGAGTTGAGCTCAAATCATAGAAACAAGAGACAGGCAAAATTACAGATTATAAAAGGGAGGGTGAGGTTAAAGACAAAGATTACGTAATCAGAGGCCGAACATCTCGGTCGTCCATTTCAATCATCAGGAAAATCAAAATTTAGTTAAAAACAAATAGCGAAGATGAGATCTATTCACTTTGACCCTTCTAAAACACAATTAACTGGTTTGATTTTTATGATTAAAAATTTTAAAAAGACATAGATGGTCAGCAAAGAAATATTCTTTGCATTACTTCACTCCAAAGCTGTTCAATATTAGTTAATGGTGTTGTGAAAGGTCAGACAATTAATTGCCTAAAAGGTCAGCCAATTAGTTACCTATACATGGATAAAATCAGTTGCGTTATCTAAAAAAGAACAATATAAGTGATAGGCATCACTCACAAATGGTTACCACTAAAAAATTTAATTAAATTAGTAAATTAATGCATGATCCACCAATAACAAAAGTGCCATGGAAAAAGGTGGTGATAGACTTGAAATTCTTGTGTGGTGGCGATACAGCAGCTGAAACTTTTCGGAGCAGACCATCGAGAGCAATTCGAAAAACATTCTTCACTGTCTCACCTTCTCCACGAAACTTCTTACTTACCAAAACATCAAAGACAGTGTCTCTCTCAGTGGCATCCATGAGCATATATCACTTCATGTGCTCCTGTAGAGCTAAGTACCCGTAGGCCGTACTAGTAGGATACTGTCTGTCTGAACATAAGAACACCTAGTAAAATTGTTGTTGAAAGGAGAAATTAGACAAACCAATGACTGTATTCTTAAGTACCTGGTTCTTACAAATTATTCCATATGAATACAAAAGTCTTTCAAAGTGATGTAAGACCAAGTCATTCAAAGCGTTTCCAACTACATCTTCTGTCCACAACCGAAGCTCTCGCTATATACACAGGGAAAACATTGAACTATGTACACAGAAGTTGTTTGTCCTATCCCTTTTTATTACCTGTGGCCATTATAGTTTGAATTTCATTCATTTATACGATAACTTGGTATGCAAATCCATGTGTTCATTCAATATTTTTGTCTTTAATTTTCTAATGGTCATCATTTCTGAACGATGCTCATCGTCTCACACTGTTTTTTTAGATTACGTAATTTATTGTTTTATTTGGTATGCAAATTCATACCGTCTTTTCTTGCTACCAACCGGAATGACTAATTGGGCTGACCTTTTTTCTACACTACATAACTAACTAACTAACTGTACAGGTTTCAAGTTGAATTAACTCAGTGAATAATATTCTTTGCTCATCACATAGGTGTAGGCATTTTTTGTACATTGAAAATTTCTCTCATGTGTATTGCATAATCACTATAAGTCACCGATAAGAAAGAAGCTTTGTTTCTTACAAGATTGCTTATAAAAGCCAAGTAAATTGGTTGTAACGAGTTTAACCAGGGATTGATATCAGTTAGAGAACCATTGAAAAACAACACTGGATTACTGGACAGCTGTTTCATCGTAGATTTTGGGAATCATCGACAGTACTCACCAATGACAGAGTTTGAAACTAGGACCTTTCGGTTACAAGGCAAACTGACTCGTATACCATTTAGCCACTGGCACCTAATTCAATGGCCCATGAATTCTAACTTCTATTAATTCGTGATTTAGCGCTACTTGTGCCAACCAATGTTATCGGTTGGGAATCCGTCCTGTTTGGACTTCACTGGTCACCTCATGGGCCATTGAATCGGGTCCTGGTGGCTGAATGGTATATGAGCTTGCCCTGCAACCGGAATTTCCTGGGTTCAAACCCTGAAAGTGGGTGCGTACTGCCGATGATTCCAAAATACTAAGATGAAACAACTGTCGAGTACTCGAGTGCTAGTTTTCAATGGTTCTTTAACTGATATCAATCCGTGGTTAAACTCGTAAAAACGTATTTTATCCTCAAAAACCAAACTTTTGAAAATGTAATTGGTTTTAGCCATCTAGGGAAGAAGGTGTAGATTTCCCCCTGGCTTTATATCTTCAAGACGTTAAGAAACCAGGGATAACTCGAGATGGTTAATGATAAGGCTCAGATTCGTTATCGTCATCGGCGTAATCTTTTATCCATCTATGCAATTCTCATTATGCTCCGTCTACTTATTCTTCCTTGTATTATATACTTCAGTTCATTATAGTTCTCTAGCCTTGTCTCTCTGTGTGTGCCGCATGAAGTTTA